ACACACACCTCCCCTGTGTTTGGACCCCGTACACAAAACATCTGCAGTGATGTCAATCAGGCTAAGTGTGATCATCGTAATGGCTCCTGTCGACGTGGAAAATGAGCTTGTGAAACTACATGTCTGTTTGAATGTTGATGTGCTGCCTTGGATGGTTGTGCGCCCAGGTTGTGTTAAAGGCAAATTGCATCACATGGATCCTGGGTCACTTATGTGTGGATAACCTGGAAATTGGCAAAGTGTTTGTCTTCCTGTTGACACTTTCCGCTGTAACGCACTTTGCGGAGCATTCACTCATCACCATGGTTACGGCCCTCCTCAGGCTACAGCACGGAGCACTCCCATTCGTCCAGCCTGTCGGACCTCACGCACCGGCGGAATACCTCTACCGGCAGCAGTGCCTCGGGCGGCCTGGGTATCACTGTGGAGGGCCCCGTCGAGGGTGACAGGGAACCGGGCCGTGCCGAGAGACCCCCCCGACCTCCTCGGCCCACGCTGCCCCCTGGCCGACTCTCAAGGTGAGGACACCCCTTCATGAAATTTGGCTTCACTTAGCTGTAATGTTTTCAGATAGGGGACAGTTTGGAACAGTTTATAATAGAAGGTCACCTGTAGCAGCTTGGAGTCTGTCTTTTGTCACCCTCTGCTGGACAATCAGCATCACAGTCGTTGTTGTAAAATTCGCCGATTCGTATTTGGTTTTGAACAAGTGTAAGTCTGAGTGTAAAGCCTTCCGTTTGACTTGTTGTGTTTCTTTCCTCTTTCCTCATATTTCACTTCCCTCTGTGCCCCCCCCCCCACCATGACAGGCGGAAGAAAGACTCTGTGGAGAGCCACCCAACCTGGGTGGATGACACCCGTATCGACGCCGATGACATCGTGGAGAAGATTGTCCAGAGCCAGAACTTTGCCGACGTCAGCAACAGCGAAGGTGCTGCAGGAAGCGCAGTCCGCCGTGCCCCTTTGCCGCCGTGCCCCTTTGCCGCCGTGCCCCTTTACCACCGTGCCCCTTTCCCGCCGTGCCCCTTTACCGCCGTGCCCCTTTCCCGCCGTGCCCCTTTAACGCCGTGCCCCTTTACCGCCGTGCCCCTTTGCCGCCGTGCCCCTTTACCGCCGTGCCCCTTTGCCGCCGTGCCCCTTTACCGCCGTGCCCCTTTCCCGCC